GTTGGGAATTTGGGGGTTTTTTTGGGGAATTTTGGGGTGTTTTGGGGAATTTTGGGGGTTTTTGGGGGGAATTTTGGTTTTTTTTTTAATTTTGGGGGGTTTTTTGGGAATCTTGGGGGACTTTTTGGGGAATTTTGGGTGGTTTTGGGGGGGATTTTGGGGTTTTTTTGGGAATTTTGGGGGTTTTTTGGGAATTTTGGGTTTTTTGGGGGGGATTTTGGGAAATTTTGGGGTTTTTTTGGGGAATTTTGGGGTGGTTTTGGGAATTTTGGGGGAATTTTGGGGGGGTTTGGGAAATTTTGGTTTTTTTTTTAATTTTGGGGGGTTTTTTTGGGAATTTAGGGGTTTTTTGGGAATTGGGGGTTTTTTGGAATTTTGGGAGTTTTTTGGGGAATTTTGCGGGGTTTTTTGGGAATTTGGGGGGTTTTTTTGGGAATTTAGGGGTTTTTTGGGAATTGGGGGTTTTTTGGAATTTTGGGAGTTTTTTGGGGAATTTTGCGGGGTTTTTTGGGAATTTGGGGGGTTTTTTTGGGAATTTTTAGTGGTTGGGATTTGGGAAGAGGAGGAATTTGGGGATTTTTTGGTGTGAATTGGAAAAATTCCCGAAATTCCGGTGGTTCTGGCTTTGGGCTTTGGGATTTTTGGGGGTTTTCCAAAGATTTATTTTGGAATTTGGGATCCGTTTTCCCAAAATTTTGGCGAGGAGCATCCAGGGATCTCCTGGATCCCAAAAATTCCCGAAATTCCGGTGGTTCTGGCTTTGGGCTTTGGGGTTTTTGGAGTTTCCCGAGGTTTTTGGAGGGTTTGGGATTTGGGAAGAGCGAGAATTTTGGGATTTCTTGGAGGGTTTTGGCGTGGATTGGAAAAAATCCCAAAATTTTGGTGGTTCTGGGTTGGGATTTGGGGGATTTGGGGTTTGGGGGATTTGGATTTGGGATATTTTGGAGGATTTGGGGACCTCCCTGGTGGCATTTTGGGGACAGAGGGGGCTCGGGGGTGGCACCCCCTGATCCCAAATCCTCCCTGTCCCCAAATCCTCATTGTCCCCAAATCCTCCCTGTCCCCAAATCCTCATTGTCCCCAAAACCTTGTCTCCAAATCCTCCCTGTCCCCAAATCCTTCTTGTCCCCAAATCCTCATTGTCGCCAAATCTTCCCTGTCCCCAAATCCTCCCTGTCCCCAAATCCTTCTTGTCCCCAAATCCTTGTCTCCAAATCCTTCTTGTCCCCAAATCCTTGTCTCCAAATCCTTCTTGTCCCCAAATCCTTGTCTCCAAATCCTCATTGTCCCCAAATCCTTCTTGTCCCCAAAACCTTGTCTCCAAATCCTTCTTGTCCCCAAATCCTTGTCTCCAAATCCTTCTTGTCCCCAAATCCTTGTCTCCAAATCCTCATTGTCCCCAAATCCTTCTTGTCCCCAAAACCTTGTCTCCAAATCCTTCTTGTCCCCAAAACCTTGTCTCCAAATCCTTCTTGTCCCCAAATCCTTGTCTCCAAATCCTCATTGTCCCCAAATCCTT